AGCAAAGCAGACACACATGTCGGCTTTTGCCGGCATTCTGACAGCTCGTATAGATCGAGAGATATCTCTCTCAAGCTATACTGGCTTTTTTTTTTTTTATCTTTTGACTTTCAAGAATAGATACAAAATGTTATGTATTAGACACATAATGTATCTATTCTTGAAAGTAGAATGTTTAAGTTTTCTGAAACATTCACTGACAGCTGAATCCTGAACTGCTGCAGGATCAGTGTCACTAACTTATTATCGGCTGTTCTGAAGTTTGAAGCAGCCTGATAATAAAAAAAATGTATTAATTTATCAAGCAGTAATAGTGAGATTAATTCACAATGACTGCCTGATATAATTAAATAAATAAAATTTGTCAGTATAAAAAAAGTGAAAAGTGTAAATAAATTAAAAAAAATAGTGAAAAGTGTAAAAAAATTAAAAATAAGGGACAAATAAATGAATGTATGTATTGCATTTTTTTTTAGCTGTGCTGGTTTTGTTAAAAAAAAATACTACAAATCAAAACTTGGAAAAAAAATTTTTTTTTACGTTTTTTCCTCTTTTTTTAATTTGTATTTGTCCTAAGTGAGGCGTTAGACACACATATGTGATATAAATATATAGCCCTATCTGTCCTCTAAAAAACAATATATAATATGTGTGGGTGCACTTTGTAAGAAAGTATATTACTGACGTGGAAGAATCACACAGCAAAAATGTCAAAAGTGTGTCAGTCATTTACGAACAGAAACCAAAAACAAGCTCAGTCATGAAGGGGTTAATGATAAACCTTTTGTTGCTGATACTTAAATTCTCAGACAAATTTAGCAGCATCAGTATGTGTCAGCTAACTTTACTATAACTATAACTATAACTAATTTGTGTTACTAAATATTTTTTTCTATTTTTAAGGGCATATGTGGTTTTATTTGGTACTCTATTTTAAGAACTTCACCTCTTATGTTTTTATTAGACATGCAAATTTCATTTAGTTCTGAATGCAAATTTTGTGCATTCGTACTGTCAGAACCTGGGGACCAGGGCACTAGAGCACGAGAACTCTGGGTCTTCAGGAGCGAGTTGGAGTCAGGGACTGGAGTGTGTGATGTTTGGGGAATTAGCTGGACTGCAGGACACAGGCTTTATCAGAAAAACAGCATTTTTTTCCACAGCAGCAACATAAACAGTCCTTTCTTTCTTCAGCACAGCAAAACAACTTAAAAGATTGCTTCCTTCAGCATAGAAATTATAAACTTTACAGTTTGCTTCAGCACAGAAAATAATAATAGGCCTCACCGGCTTGGATGGCTTTAGTCCACAAGGTTATCACATTCTTAACCTTAGAGTTTCTCTCAGCCCGTAAAGTTCAGCTGTTTCACTGCACCAGTACCTTAGTCTGCTTCACAGCTTTGTCTGAACACATTACTCAGTGCTTCTCTCTCTTTCACCTGCTGTCTCTTTCTTCCTATCCTTTTGAGTGCACTTCCTGCAGCAGGTGTTAAACCATTTCTGTCCCTTAAAGGGACCACAACCCAAACAAAGGGAAATTCACACCTCTCCCAAGACCCATCCTCTGGTGTCCTGTACAAGTGATATCTGGGATATAGGTCACAGGGGATTAAGAGTATGTGCATTATCGGGGACGGTGAGGATGACAAGAGTCATCCTCACCATTGGAGGCTCTGTAGAAGACCCTCCAATGGTGAGGATGATTGGCTGCTAGGCACCTTCCAGGTTGTGGCCCTCTAGTGCACCCACACAGACTCAGAGGGCTAGTGGCAGCACCAGGGTACAAGACACAGTGACACATAGGGAGGAAAGCTGAAGACAAAATGTAAAGGATCGTAACTGTGTACACAAGAGGAAAAACACAACTAAAAGTGCAAAACGCACAGCACAAGATACACAAAAGAGGAAAGCAACACAGAGACACTGGAGACCGTGGTACACAGGGAAGGTGCGTAGCAAGAGGTTGATTCGAAATATGAAGGTACAAGGTATAACAAAGTACAAGGGATGTGCATTGAACAGAGGTATGGAGGTAGCAGATACACACAGGAAACATGCGTACAAGGAGAAACAGGATACACAGAAGATATATACAAGGAGCAGGACAATGTGGTGAATGCACACAGGGAGTGTACGTTACAAGGAGGCATCAAACACAGATATATGGAATGGAGACCACTGGAGAACAGGAAAAACCTGCAAAACACAGAGGTGAGGTACGTACTCAGAAATACAGTACACAGGAGAAAGGCAGACATAAGTACGGAGAATCCAGGTAGAAGGGGGGAGACTGACACACAGGGCTTGGAGAGTAAGAGCACTGAAGCAGTACTGCAAGACTCACATCACACAGGAGAAAGCAAAGGGAGGTCTCAAGCAATATACAAAAGGTACACACTGGAAACTTAAAATATTTCAGGAACTTCGAGAACAAAGTAGGGAACAAGGCCAAACAGCTAATCCACGGGATTAAACGGGAAGCCAAAAGCACAGGGATCCAATAAAGTGCAGGGAATGCCAATCTCAGGCGTCACAAGGAACATGAGGGGTCCGACACAAGAGATAAGGTGTGTTGCTCAAACCCAGAGCAACAAGTGAGGTTTGGCTAAATAGGGGAGGAGGAGTACAGATTGGCTGCAGCCTTGTGAAACACTATAGGCTAACAGCCAAGCACCAAGGACCATGGATTCCCGGACATTGTGACACAGATGCATTTTTCAAAATGAAACAAATTCGGACACGTGACCTTTTTCAGGCCAATCAGAAAACCCTGTCGGAAACAAAAACGGAATTCCGAAAGATCAGAATCCAAATAACGAAAAGAGACATCGCTCGGACCCAAATCTCGGAAAAAAGAAAAATCCAAAATTAAATCAAATTAATTTTTTGTCAGCGTAAATGTTTAGTTTTTATCATTAGCTGACAAAATTTTAGAAAAATGCAAATTTCATTAACAGCCAATAATATTTTGTAAGCTTTTATTTATTTTTACTGTCTGCACTACTTAAACAGCTGCAGTCTGCCATTTTTTAGCTGTCATTGTGCCTCTCTTTGTATGAGTATGGCAGTACTACAGCTCTGTAAATATGAAAGTATGAGAGCTATCATTAACCTAGGCAACAAGTAGTGCTTGCGCCTACCTTTAGTTGGTGTCTTCTGTAGCCCCTCTACACTTAATCCTGGGCTGCTATAGTCTGCAAAGTATGACATTTTCTGTCAGAGGAAAAGTGCATGGAGCCAGTCCTCCTCCTCCTGACTGAGTAGCCGGATAAAAATCAGTCCATTTCTAGGGTTTGTGAAGACCTTTACCACTTTTTGTCATTGTGACTGACACCATTAAATCATAGGGGGATCGCAGGAGACAGCTGGGTGAGAGGGCAGATTGGTGTAAAGATCGTCACTGTTAGGGCTTAGACGAGTAGAGCTGATTCACATAGTGGCCATTACGCTTGGCGGCCGACCAAAGTATGACATTTTCTGGTGTGGTTGATTGATGACCCATCCATAAGCTCCTTTTGGTCCATTACTATGAGAGTCTGACTGGCTGGACACATTAAGGAACATTCAGGAGGTGGGAAAGACCAGGGCCAGCGAACAACAATACAAGGTAGTGTTTCAAAATAGACAAAAGTGCTGCCCAATAATTAGGCAATGGATTAACCTCTTGCCGTCCGCCCGTAGTAAAAAAACGGACGGACGGCACTGCAATGCTAGCAGTAATTATTTTCAGAAGGTTGAACAGACCATTTAAACTAACTTATTAGTATTTTTTCATAGCATTTTTTCATGCCATTTGTGAAAGAGTTAATACATATGTCAAGTGTCAATCAGTTCACTTGCACAGAATATATACTAAAGGAATTTGTTGTGTTCACAGCATGCTCCAAATTGTTATCTGCTTGAAAACTGTAAGAAGGTCAAGAATAAGCTTGAGTCAGTGAGAAATGTTATGTGTACAGCCTGTTTACTTGATGTGCATGATAACACATTCCTAGCCAAGTACCATACATTTGAATTTTTTTAAACACAGTATTAGAAACAGAAATTAGACTGTGTAAAATCAGTCTGCTTTTTCCCACATTGCTGAATTGTGAATACATGCTCAAATTACTTTAGTAGTTAAATATTACACTTAGAAAATTGGGTCATTAACACTTTCACAAAAAAGGCACAAAAGTGTTTTTATTAAGAAATGCAGTTTACTTTTTAATGACAGAAGAACATTATAATGTTGATGTTTCCACTAATTCATTTGGCAAGGATTTCCAAAAAAAGGTATTTTTTTACTGATAAGATAGCACTGCTTTTATTAAATATACATATAACTGCCCTCTTCCTCCTCATGTCATATGTAGTTCCCATGACATCCCTTCAATCAGAGGGCAACTGTGACAAAAGACCTTAGCCTGCAAGTAGAAAGCCTCTATGATATGGTCTATACTGGTATGTTGGATCGAAGAACCACCAGATTCAGTGTAGGTCACAGCCCTTGGGGGTGCATCCCACTGATTTGATGTCTTTACACATGGGATGGGGAGGGTGATAGGATAAAGTTAGATTTATGTTTAATAGAAAATATTGTTTTTCTTTTACCCAGACAGCATTCATATGAAAAAAACAGGTTCTTTGTCTGGACTTAATTGGCTATTTAAAGGACAGAAAACATAGGGGTGTAGAGATAAGGTTATATCTTATTTGATCATTTATTAAGACAGAGCAAAGACCAGTGCAGAAACTTGTGTACAGATTATCAGATTTAATTCTTTTCACCATACTGTATCTATGGAAGATCAATGTTGTTACCCTACAGCAGATGGTGGTAGAATAAGATAGTTCATTGTTAAAGATTAACTACATTTCAATGAAAAAGTGTGTAAAGATGTGCAAAAGAATCCAAAATGTTTACAAATTCTTTTTTAGGCTTATATAATTGTGTTTAACTGCAAAATAAACTTATATTGCTGCACATTTGTTAATTTTTCCTTTTTTTATTGCTTTAGATGACACGAGAACAGTACATTTTGGCCACACAACAAAATAACCTACGGACTGAAAACGCTCAATTTTACCCAGTGGGCATTTACGGATGGCGGAAGAGGTGTTTATACTTCTTTGTCCTTTTGCTATTGGTTACCATGATTGTTAACTTAGCAATGACGATATGGATATTGAAAGTAATGAATTTTACAGTGGTAAGTACAATTCTTCTCTTTACAAAAATATGGATACTTGGTTAGTAATTAGGTGCTGTATGTATGGACAAGACTTGATTACATGGAAATATAGGTATGAAAATTGCTACCACTACTTTAGTCCTAGTTGACTAAAGTAGTAGTAGCAATATACAGCACTCACTAGGTCAGTAGGATGCAGATACATTGCTCTAATCCACATGGCCCGTTTTAGGGCAGTAGTAATACAGTAATGCAGAGGGTTTTTAGACAGAGTGGGCCTTTTTTTTTTCCAAACATGGTAAATCAGTTTGTTCACCACTATTGCCCAATATGTAAATCATCCATTTAAAAAAAGAAACTCCTGGCAAATTAGTATGACTAAACTTTACTTCATTTATATGCCAACATCTCAGGTTCTAATACTCATAACACATATTCCGCAGCTACTCTATAGTCTCACCTACATTATTCCAGTTTACCTTTTGGCTATTTAAAGCTAGAATTTAAAAAAAATTGAGGTCAATTTGCTAAAAGTTATGTGCACAGGATCCACATTGATCTGGAATGTGTGAATGCACATGTACAGGCTGCAATGTATATGCTTAGAATTTACTAACAAGTGTGGAATGTATACATCAGTGTGTGAACATATGCCAGGTATGCCGT